TGCTTTCTTTTTTCTCGATTGCGAGATGGATGATTTATTAATACAATGACTGAAAATGAGAGGAGTAGAAAAGAGAAGCGCAATGGAGAGCAGCGACAAGGACGAGGGAGAAGTTAAAAAATGAGAGAAGAAATAAAAGAAGAATGGTGGGATGTGCAGAGGATCCACATGCGATAGATAGTTGAAGAGCAGTAACTCGACATCATCTTCTATACTACAAATCAATCAATCCATGCGGGCTTCACTTGGGGATCATCTGTTCCCCCTCCATACTGGTACATCCTCGAAGTTTATGCTGCGTTGGCTGACGGTGACTCGCTGCCGATCCCACCTTGCATGACTGAAATTCTTCGGCGTTATCGTTGTTGGACACGATGGGCCCTAAGTAGGTCATTCATCCATCCTGGCGATGAGTTGGTGAGCAGCCATTCATGTGCTGGTATCGAGGGGTTGTTGTTTGTATCTAACTTTTATCCCGCTCTCATTTTCTGTCTGCTTTGTTCCGCTGATCCGCGGGTTGTTGAAGTCAACTAGATGCATGACATTCCCTTTCCTGGAATTAATTACTCTGGGAAGCATGACTTGCAGCTGAACCGCTGGCACTGGCTGCCTCCGAAACTGTTCACAGCGCATCGCGAATAGGATGTCTTGGAACATCATTCGGGCATATTCTCATTGGTGCAGATGATGACTATTATCGCACTAAGAGTACAGTAGTATTCCCCTCCATTCCATTCCGTTCCTTCATTTTGAGTTATTGTATACTTTAATACTATTCGTACTGTATATCGATACGATTTCTATTAATTATCTCGATGATATACCAGCGGTGAGGGTAATTACCGTATGGTACGGGCCGTGATCTCCGCCCGCGCTTAATTCCGTCCTTCATCGATTCCAATCCAAGATTCCAGGCCTCAAGATCGTGTCAACTACTTTGCCATTTCTCCCACCGCGACCGGTCCCGACCTTCTCTTTCTTCCTCTCGTGGACCTGTCCTTTCGCCTACCTTCCTTGCCCTCGGGCTCATGCTTCGACCGTGGCTTCGGCAGTGCCCGCGAGCAACCCGCTCGCTCGCCTGCCCGCAATGCCATCTTCCCCGGCCGCAGACTGCCAGGCGCGCCCTTCGGCCCCTCCCTGCCTTGTCCCTTTCGCATACCATTCGATCCCTCCAAACCGCGACGACCGACTCGCCGGACCGCATTCCCCTCCGAAAGCAGCTGAAACAGGACGCCAAGGCCGTCAAGGCGCGCAAGCGACAGACACGAGAGAATGAGGAGGCCTCCCGACAGAAGTGGGAGTTGACCGTGGGCATTGAGATCCATGCGCAGTTGAACACCGAGTCCAAATTATTTTCGCGTGTGTGACTGGATTCTAGACAATTGGACTGAATTGTCTGGCTGATCGCTGAGCAGGAGCGTCTACATCATCTACGGATCTTCCCAATTCGAACGTTGCGCTGTTCGATCTAGCATTCCCGGGGTCGCAACCGGTTTGTGGATGAATTCTCTCTATGCATGAGGTGCAGACACTTACAGCTATGGTGTAGGAGTTTCAAATCGCAACGCTCCTCCCCGCCCTCCGTGCCGCCCTTGCTTTGAACTGCGAGATACAGCCAGTCAGCAAATTCGACCGCAAGCATTACTTCTACCAGGACCAGCCGGCCGGATACCAGATCACCCAATACTACGGTAATATAGTTCCCTCCCTCTCTCGCAGCCGATCAGTGCTCTGACATAGAGTAGAGCCTTTTGCGAAGAATGGCTATGTAGACCTGTTCCGCCATGATGGCATTGCGCCTGAGGACGGCGACACGGTTCGCATCGGCATCAAACAGGTCCAGATGGAACAGGATACCGCCAAGTCGCAAGAATATCCGCCCTCGACGCAACTCCTCGACTTCAACCGTGTCTCCCACCCCCTCGTCGAGATCATCACTATGCCGCAGATCCATACTCCCGCCACCGCGGCGGCCTGTGTTCGGAAGATCCAGTCCATCTTGCAGTCATGTAATGCGGTGACAACTGGCATGGAGCTGGGAGGTCTGCGGGCTGACGTCAACGTCTCCATCCGCCAGCGAGGTGACACAGCCGGCACGCATCAGTACGGTGGCATCGGCGGACTCGGACAACGCACGGAGATCAAGAACCTGAGCAGTTTCAAGGCGGTCGAGGATGCCATCATTGCGGAGAAGAACCGGCAGATTGCCGTCCTTGAGAGTGGCGGGGTGGTAGAAGGGGAAACCCGCGGCTGGACGATTGGAAGCACCGAAACGCGCAAACTACGAGGCAAAGAGGGGGAGGTCGACTATCGCTATATGCCCGACCCGGATCTTCCGCCCCTATACATCGGCGCCGACCTCGTGGCAGCGCTTCAGACCAATCTCCCCACGTCCTCGGATGCGCTTATTGAACTACTGGCCGGGCCGGAGTATGGGCTGCCCATCGAGGACGCGAAGCCGCTGGTGGAACTAGAAGACGGCGCGCGGTTGGAGTACTATCAGGAAGTCGTGGACCTCCTGCGGGCGCTGCAGTCGGATCAGGAACCCAAGGCACAGAAAGGACTGGCGCGGGTGGCCGGCAACTGGGTTCTTCATGAGCTTGGGGGTCTCTGGGCCAAAGCGGAGGAAGCGTGGGATGCGGCGCGGGTGCCTGCCCCGAGTCTGGCCGCGCTGATCGACCAGCTGCAGCGGAAGCACATCACAGGGCCGACGGCGAAGCAGGTACTCGCCATGGTGTTCGCGGGGGATGAGCGGCCGATCCCCCAGCTGCTGGAGGAGGAGAACCTGCTGCTGCGGCCACTGTCGCGCGAGGAGTATGTAGCGCTGGCGGAGGCAGCAATCAACTTGAACCCCACCATGGTAGAACAGATCCGACAAAAGAACCAACTGGGCAAGCTGGGCTGGTTTGTCGGGCAGATGATGCGCATGGGCGAGAAGGGACGAGTGGAAGCGCCGAGAGCAGATGCGATTCTGCGGGAGTTGATCTTGGATCAGCGATAATGTATACCTGTATAGTACATTGATAAAGCAATAGATAGCAATAAGCATGCATGATACCCATCACACGGTGATTTCCCCCCACCCTTATCCCCTCTTATCCCCGAACGTCATCTGTCGGGGGTGAATTGCTAATGGAAACGGGCGGAGGAAGTGGATGCTCTCCTGGACCTGTACTTAGGGGAACAACCGTTCCCTAAAAGCAGGTCTTAGCGATCGCGGACGCCCCACGGCTGAGAATGCTTTTAACCGGCTCGTCGCCCCTGCAATCCGGTTTCATTCTTCTTTCTTTCAGTATTATCTGGACTCTACTTTCTCCTTCATCCCTTCTAGTTTCTCTTCTCTTTTCCTAGTCCTCTCCTAAGGGTCCAACTTCTTGTGGTGGTGCTTTGGAGTCTACCTCGGATCGTCTCCACTCACGATCTTATCTCATCTTTGGGTCCGCCCTTCTAGAACCTTTTCTTTTTCTTCCTTCCTTCATCCCACGCGACCCTACCCCTCCAACTCTTCCCCTCCCCTCTCCTCTCTCTTACACACATTCACCATGACTTCTCCTTCGACAATCCGGCAGAGATTCCTCTCCAAGCCCAACCAGCTGGGCGTCGTGGCCGTTGGTTTCAATGGCGGGCAGGTACGTACAAGAAGAATTCCATGACGACGGATCCGTCGATCATCTTAGTAGCGTGCATAATAAAAGGAAGAACCCCCACTAACCATATACACCCCGACCTCAGTGCAAGATGGGCGTCGAAGCAGCCCCGATGGCTCTCGTTCAAGCCGGTCTGCTCGAGCAACTGCGCGACGATCTGGGCTACGAACTGCACTATGACGAGAAGGTCCACCACTACGAAGATAAGATGCCCGAGTCCGACCCCGACCACCGCGGCATGAAGAAGCCCCGGTCGGTCAGCGCCGTTACCGAGTCGCTGAGCGCCCAGGTCTACGAGCACGCCAAGGAGGGCAAGTTCGTGCTGACCCTGGGTGGTGACCACTCCATCGCTATCGGTACCATTTCCGGCACGGCCAAGGCGATTCGTGAGCGACTGGGTCGTGAGATGGCTGTGATCTGGGTGGATGCGCACGCCGATATCAACATTCCTGAGATGAGCCCTAGTGGTAACATTCACGGTATGCCCATGGCGTTCTTGACGCGCTTGGCTCGTGAGGAACAAAAGGACATCTTCGGCTGGCTGCAGGATGAGCACATTGTCAACACCCGCAAGCTGGTGTACATTGGTCTTCGGGACGTGGATCGCGGTGAGAAGCAGCTGCTTCGTGAGCATGGCATTAAGGCGTTTAGCATGCATGATGTTGATCGGTAGGTTTCCTCCTCCTCCTCCTTACCCTTATGTATCCTCCGATGATGCAGTGGTATTCTGACAACCTGCAGGTACGGCATTGGCCGCGTGGTCGAAATGGCCCTGGCGCACATTGGCAATGACACACCGATCCACCTGTCCTTCGACGTGGACGCGCTGGACCCGCAGTGGGCGCCTAGCACGGGTACCCCTGTGCGTGGTGGACTGACACTGCGCGAGGGTGACTTCATCTGCGAGTGTGTGCACGAGACGGGTAACCTGGTGGCGATGGATTTGGTGGAGGTGAACCCCAGCCTGGAGGAACATGGCGCTAGCGACACCATTCGGACGGGATGTTCGATTGTGCGGAGTGCCCTGGGAGATACCTTGCTGTAATGCAGGAGCCTGTGGCTGTAGGGGGTGAGAACTAGAGTAGAACTAGAGAACTAATGAGCAATCTGAATCAATCAATGTCAAAGCTTATTTCCGGAGTAACTCTAGTTAGTGTGAGCTTGACCATGCGGAGAATGGAGGATGGATGGATGGACGTAGATACTACGACTAAATTTACCCGCCCTGCCACCGCATTAGTTCCGTCCTGCCACCGGAATTTCCAATGCCCATCATGAAGAGTAGTAAGTACTCCATAATTGTCTGTCTTTCTTTCATTCTCTGAATTTACTTTTCTTGCATTCTTTCATTAACTTGTCAATTGTCATTCCTTGATTTTTTTTCTCGCCTCGATACCTACACATCAAGCACAGTTCTAGACCCGCCAGGCATCATATCATATCCGCCCAACCCACGCCTCGTCTCGCCTCGCCCCATTACGGTCAACCCTGATGCGTTGTCAATACTACTAGACCTAAACCAAAACCAAGTTGAATGAGGGTTAAGGCGGAGTCATTGTTTCAGCCTGATATGATGATATAATGCGATATTAAATTTATATCAGCATACCCCGGAAGATCACAACCACCACTGCACTCTACTACTGCTACTATATACATCGTCAACCTATTGTCTATATACATACTACACACACCACACATCTATACTACTCACCACCTCAACTGAACCCCCAACCCCCGAAGAACCAAAGAAAGGAAAAGAAACGAAATGGCAATGCGAATCTACCACCGCCGTCCCCGCCGCTACCACTGGCCCGAACTCCAACTCAACATCTGGATCATCGTGGTTCTCTCCTCATCCGCAATCTGTCTGGGTATATTCGCCTGGTTCATGACGGTTCAAAATGACTTGGGATTGGAAGTTCCTTGGTACGATTACCCTATTAAACCCCTTCCCCAACTCCACCACCACCACCACCACCATACTAACACAGGAATAGGCTCTTCCCCTACATGATAACAACCGGCGCGCTCGGCATCTTCTTCGTAATCTTCATCCTGATCCTAGCCGCACAACGCTTCCTCCTGCCCGGGATAATCATCATCGGGGGGTTTATTCTCTTCGTGCTGTGGTTAACGGGACTGGTGGAGACATCGCTCCAGCTGTATGGGGTTGTCGCGAACGTTAATGATAATTGTCGCAATTATATTGATAATGTTAAGCCTGTGGGCGATGGGTGGAAGACGTTGGCGTGGATTGAGGAGGAGACTATTTGTAAGTTTTTTCATTCTTTCCCCTTCTTTCTTTTGTTCCCTTTGGGGGGGAGGGTATGTATGTATGCTAATTGGTGTTTGTGGGATAGGCAATTGTTGGAGAACGGCGTTTGCGTTTGAATTGGTGAATACCATCTTTTATGTCTGGATGATTATTATGTCGTGGCAGGTTAATCGGGATCTTTATCGTTGATTTTCTATCCCTCTTTGAGAAGAGGGGGGGGGGACGGGATGGGATGGTTCATCATGTATTATGAGATATGATTGTATGATTTCAATGGATAATATAGAGCTCTTGCTCAATTCTATACTACTTACTCATGAAATGTCTCAAGCATATATTCAGTGTTGTATTTTCCTATATATCTCAAACGCCCTCGCTATGCCATCACTTATTGGCAAACATGGCAAACATGGCAACATGGCAAATATCACAACGCCAAATACATCCAAACTAAATATCCCAACCTAGCTACTTGACTATCCATTCTCATTCGCAATTTGTTCCTCCGCCTCCGAATTGTAATCCCCTCCTTCCAGTGCAGCCATCATCTCGCGCTCCAGCTCGTCATCCTCGTCGGCCGGATCCACCTCTGCTGGATCAGGCGGGCTCGACTCGTCAGCAACCTGCTCCGGCTCCTCTGTCCCCGGTTCCGTTGCAGATGCTGTTGTGCTTGCAGTCGAATCTACCGCCCCGGCGCTGGCTACCTCCTTCAGCCCCGTGCTGCGCTCGTATGAACGCTTGATCCGCTGAGCTAGCCGCGAGCCTGGCTCGTCGCCCTCGCCGGCACTATCTGTATCCTGGTCGTCGTCGTCATCGCCGCCGCCGTCTCCTTCCTCGCGCTTCCGCTTCTTGCTGGCAGATGGAGTACCTGTCTCATCCATGAATGTGGCTTCGCTGTCGCTCTCGCTCTCATCGTCACTGCCCAGGAACTCCTTGAGCTCATCGTGGACCGCGGCCTGCTCCTCGTCGTCGTAGCCGAGGGGCGACATTTCGGATATTCCTGCGGATTTGAGAATTTCCTCTGTTGCTTCTTCGTCATCCGCTACAGAGTCGCCCGTTGCCTCGTCCGACGATGAGAGCCACGCGCTCTCCGCCACCTCTTTAGATCCCGGTGAGATTGGCTCGCCGCGGTCGTCTGGATGCACGGGGAGGAGGTACGGTTCCTCCGCTAAGCGCTTCCATTGTGTCAGACAGTCCAGGAGCCATTGTGTCGTGACGATCTTGACTTTCGGGTACCGGGTCGCTTCGCGCACTTTGGCTGTGCGGTTCCGCCCGGCGACGAGATGCGTGGTCTTCATGTTAATCTTCGATGCAATGACCGCCCCAAAGCTCTTCGCCCAGAGGGAGATGTCGGCGTTTTGTGTATCCGTGCCGAGGGGAAGCACGCCCGAGAATACGAGGGTCACGCCGCCGAGGATTCGATGCTTCATTTGGGGCATGATGATCTTGACGTCTGGGACTAGTTTCAGGTCGACGTCCTTCTCTTTGGACGGCTTTTCGCCGCGCAGGGCGGCGACTCGCCCGCCCAGTGCCCGTGAACGTCGTCGGTCATATTCGTCGAAAAAGTCCCGGTGTACTTGCTCCAAACGCACCTCGAGGTCGAACAGCTCCCGATCATTGTCCTCCAGTAGGTGATGTCGGTGCTTGCTCAGATCCTGTGAGTCGTCTATGCTGCTGGATGTATCGCTGCTCTCTGCTGCATCGTCCTCCGCGTCTAGCTCCTTTTGCTTCTGCAGTAATGGCCGGTCCTCCACTTGATGCATGATTGTCTCCTCTTGTGCATCGCTCTGCTCTTGTAATAACCTGGGATTATCGCCACCACCCATTGTTACCAGCTGTTCCAACGTCGAAACCTCTGTCTGGTCGTCTCTCTTTGCCGTCGCCCCGTTGACATGATGTTCCGCCAAACCCCCCTTGGCTGCCTTGGCTACCGGCTTCTCGCCCCCTTTGCTGGGAGGTCCCAGCTCCTGCTTCTTCGGGAGGAAACTAGAGTTGATGTCCCCGATGCCGACGAAGAAGTCGTACGGCGACACCTTGATGAGATTGGGGTTCCAGCGCCAGACGTCCCCGCGGTCGTCGATAATGACGACCATCTTGGTGTCCACCGGGAACAGCCGGTGCAAGTTCTTGGCCACCAAGCTGCCACTCTCATCTCGGCTGAGAATACGGTCACCAAAGAGTTTGCGGTCTGGATCTATGATACTAGCGATATGTTGCGCATAGGACCTCGTTCCCATGGTGTAGATATGCAGCTCATACATCTCCGACACATTCTGCAGAAACGACTCTAGCCCCGGTCGTAGCTTCACATAGTACCAGCACCCGCGCATTCCCGGCCCATCATCTACCAGCTGAAACGCACGCACATCGCTCAGAGCCTGATAATTCGGGTTTTCCTTGTCCTGCATCCATTCTCCGACAGTCGGGTCGACGGTAGCATGAATAATGGTCTGGTCCAGATCGACAACCAGCGACAATTTCCGATTCGCCAGTAAGCGGCGCTTCGCATCCTCTTCCACCCGCGTAGCTTCTTGTTCACTGACAGTCAACGTAGTATTATCGTGGGCCATCTGAATTGGCGCGCGATGCACATCCGTCACCTCAGTATTGTACGAAAAACTGCAAACAATCGTAAGCCAAGCCCAACACCAAAACACCGTTTTCACCTACTCAGTCATATCCTTGCCACAAATGGCACAGAGCCCACCAAACTGGACCTCATGAGCACATGGCTCATCAACCTCCAAAACATCGACCCTAACCAAATATCAGCATCCCAACACCAGACCCAAATGAACGACAGCGGGGCGTCGGAACATACGGTTCATCAATAACATCCCCCTTTTCAATCTTCCACTGCACCACCTCCCCATCAACTGTCGATTCGAACTTCGTCGGGAACTTGCGCTTCACATCCACCTTATTCCCCAGCCCATCCCCCTCCGTCACAGTCGTCTGGTACACATACCAGAATAGCGCCTCATCCCGTTCCACCTTATCACCGGGCTGTTTCAGCAGCGACGTGACGGTGATCGGGTAATGGAGGCTAGGCGGTAACCGGAGAAGCATGCCTGGATAACCCTTTCACACAGGTCGACTCAGCAAGCTCTCCTAGTAATTGTAGGTATCCAACCCCCCTCCTGCCTCCCTAACACCGAGAGTGAGGCAGTGTCGGGCGAGGGGCCGCGGACGGGTTTATTTTCGATAGCGGAAGGAAACGAAAGAGAGAAAGAAAAGGATCGAGCTCGATAGCTATGAAGCCATTCCCAAAACTTCTGCCGTCGGTAGGAACAACAGCGACCTAGCTTAATCGCAGCGGCGCACGAGAATCTCGATACGAAGAAAGTGTATTTGAATGGAACGGGGTCAGGTGGACAAGTGATGGAGTTGTCGCGGGATCGTTCGCCACGCTAGGACGCGACGAAGTCAATAAGGCGGGCGCGGGTTTGCGCTGTGGAGGTGTATCGGGTTAAGGTGGAAAGCGGGTCAATCTGGGCTCGTAAAATCAAGCGCAGACGAAGGGACAAAGAAGCGATCGGGTATGGAGATCGAAGAGCGGCTAAAGAGAAGGGAAGTCGTGGGGGATGATGAAACAAAGACAGAGCAGAGAGAAAGTCTGGATGGAAGAGGTGGTGAGAGCGTGATGAAGAAGGCTTGGCTGCCAAGAAGAGTTGCTTGGGTTTTGGCGCCTGGCCTGTGCGGGGCGAGACTCGCCGGCCCAGACTCGGCTGGTACCGCGGTTGCTTCTTATTGTTACTGCATCACACGGTTTACGTCAATTTCAATGAGTGTCAAGTTGCATATTGCATAACCATTTACAGTCTAAGTGTCAGAACATGTCAGATAATATCACCGGCTTTCCATTGAAGATCCCTAGAATCTATCCGGCAACCGCTGCAAACATGAGGATAACCATTCACAACATTACGTGTGTTCGTCTGCCAAAATCATAGATCAAGCTACAAGAAGCAATGATGACAGCAAAGGCAGCATCATAGATACCACATTAACCCGCTGAAACCGCTTACTTGGCCTTAGCCAGGCCAACAGCGCTGTTACCAAGGTCATACACACTGTACCACTTGCGCAGGAACGCATCGCCCAAAATGGCCAAAGGACCAACCGGCTCAGGGAAGTCCATGCCCATGAAGGCACTGACGCAAGAGCCCTGCACCTCCAAGGTGTAGTCATACGAGGTGATGGTGAAGTTGTGGCCGGCAAGGGTGAAGGTAACATCGGGCAGGGACGAGCGCTTGTCGCAGTCAACGGTGTACTGGCCGGTCCAGCCCTTCTTAGCACCGATCTGAGCATTGCTAGGAGACTGTTAGCAACTTGTTTGTTCAATTAAGACATCCAAGACTTTTGACTTACATCATCTCGGCCAAGTCAGCAGGCAGAGCAATCAGGGAAGTACCAGTGTCCAAGATGACACCGGTGTTATCCAACTCAGCAACATCGTCGCCAAGAGCAATGGCGTCAAGGTCAACCTCCCAGTAAGCCTTACGACGGAGGGGAATCTTGATCAGCTCGCCAGTGTAGTGGTCCTTGTCGACGCCACCGAAAGTCGCCACGGAATCGTCACCCTCCTTGTTGGTGTCTCCAAGGTAGAAGGCAAAGACGGGCTCGTCAAGAAGGCCCTGGTCAAGCATGTTGTAGAAGGGAGGAACGATCTTGTTCACGGAGATGGTGTCATAACCCAAGCCGAGAATGCCATCGAACCGGCCGAAGGCAAAGGCAAGACCGGGCTCGTTGGTCGCCTCAGCGAAGTCCTGTCCCTTGACCTTCAGGTCGCCAATCTTTAGGGTGTCCTGAGAGATGAATCCGCTAAGGCTGCCAGAGCCGTACTTGATGGCGAATTCACTGCCGTTCTTGTGGTACGTACTCGAGGCAGACGAGTCATACTTGTTGTGGAGGTAGCAGGCAATAGAGCTGCATTCGCTCGAAGGAACCCAAAGGTTCGAGCTACCAGTGTCCAGGACAACCTTGAACTTCTGGGGGGGAGTACCCAGCTCGATCTCGGAGAAGTCTATGGCAAGAAGGGTCAGCAGCGATCAGCCATATACGACGGTATCTCCATACACTGTGCATTCAGGAAGTTGTCCACCAGGACATCATGACGGCTCATGTCATTGATAGGGTTCTCCTCGACCAGCTCTTTGTGGATGGACGGGCGG